GGATATTTTTCTTACAAAAACCCCCTGATTCGCTTCAGAAGGCCTTTAGTAACCCCCCGGAGACGTGTGTAGTCGCTTTATGATGGATGGATGGATGCACTTTTTTGAGCTTCAAAATCTCATCCACCATTCGCTGCCATTCCTGAAGGACCAGCAGCACATCCTCATGTACCACTGTTTGAAGAATCTATCTTCCAGAATCTGGCAGTAAGTTTTGGAAGATCATTGTAGTCCATCTCTGTAAGACAGACTTTTCAGGATAGGAAATGGATTAAAAATGATATCCATAGTTAAAACTTTATAAAGCAGCTGTTTTTTTCTGACCCTACTGACCCAGTGAGCATTTTTCTGTCCGATGGTCATGCCTTAACTCTGCAAGTTCTACTATTGCATTAGTATTGCATCCTCATGGGCATTTAATCATTTTTGACCTTTCAGTCCAAGTTAAAAATCTATTTTTTGGCTAATTTTATCTGTTAAAGAAATCTGCATAATAATTATGCACACCTGAATATAAGGTGTTTGTCAACTGACAGCCTTCATGAACAGTTATATATGTTACTTATAAATGATTAAATGTAAAATGAATAGTAGTTATTAATGTGATTGATGTGGAATTGGTCAAATGTGCTTGGAAGAAATTATGATCCAAAAATGAACTTGCATAATAATTATGCACTCACTGTACAAATTTCATTCTCTCGTATGTCAACATGTCCAGAATGAAAACAAACGGACTGAAATGAAATGAGTAAGGAGTGTTGTTTGGCACAATAACAAGCTGAGAACTGCACATAGATATAGATCATCCAGCAATTTTTAGCAGACAAAGCTGAATTGTCTTGACAAAGTTACCTTGTTGGTGACAGATTTGAAGCCGGTGGCCCACTTCTTCTTGAAGTACACTGCGCTGATAAGAGCAAGACTCGTGTCCTTAGACACATCTCCTGGATCCAACAAATCCTTCAGTTGATCTAAAAACACCAGTGAGAAATTATGAGAAAGTGGTCTAATAGACTATAGTCTAATAGTTGAAAACAAATACACTTTAATTGATTTACGGTAAGTCTTATTCTCCACCCAGCTATTGATCTTTTTTCTTGCAGCATCAGGATCCGTCTTGAAGTCAGCATTCCTCAAGCTGGCAAAACACCACTCCTCACATTCGTCTAGGAAATTCTAACATCGTCAGTAGAAAGAGAGGGAACATGGATTACAATAACATCAATGTTCTGACCCAGACATCTCATTGAATGATGCATTACTTTACTGCCATTTTCAGGAAGTAAATTAACCATTTGCTGTGCTTTCTCAACCAACTCACGTCATAAAAATTGACTGTCTTTTCTCCAAACATGCGATTAACCAGCTGCAGGCTTCTCTTCTTGTCTTTAGTCTTGTACTCCCCTTCTTTGTAGAGCTCCTCATACAGATAGTGGTACATAATTCTCATTTTGCCAAAGTGGAGGGCCTTAAGAGAAACACGACAAAATATTGTTTAATATTGAGTGAAATGTATTCAGAGAATTTGAGACTGCGGAGTGTGGAGTGTTTTGAATTTTGCAATGTAGAATCGCAGCAATCAGTGCATTAAAGGGGACC